TTGGTTCTTTTCAGAACCGCAAATACTCACAAAAGAGATACGTCTATGGTGCTACCGCAAACCTACTTTCTATTATACCTCTTCACCATGCAAACCTTCAAGACTTTTGTGGACATGTTTTTGCTGTCTGACTGCCAATAGGTCACTGTAGTGCAGGGAATAACGACTGGTGTCCGTATAAGTCTATTCGCAATCTCATGTGCACATGCACAAACTTTGATCTAGCAATGGAAAGAGAAGATAAACAAAACCATAGCGCTCCGTGTCGACATGTTGTGTCGTATGTGACGTGCCGTTGAGGGTGCATTCCACCAAATCGTTGGATTTCTGTGTGTGAGCTCATTGATATTTTGTGATCCCACAGGGTTTTTACAATAAGACATGCCATAATCAGGAGGGACCATGCAGAGATTTTTCTATAAATCCCGAACCTGGGACTGGTACATGTAGTTTCCAGTTTGGGGTATTTCTTGCACAAAAAAGCCCAAACCTGTGGGCTAGAGGCGGGTGGCTACATTCAGGGCTTAGCGCATAGTTTTACTACTATTTTGGGAGTACCTTCGGGGAAAGGCGAATAAAAAAAAATTGCATGGCTAACCCCCATAAAATTGAAACTAAAAACTTCTGGTCATAATCTTGAATTTCCAGTGAAAAAACAGAGGCCACCCGTTTCCCGAGAGTCAACAGGCGGTGTTATTTTAGTCTGATTTTGTACTGTTTTCTATGGGCGCGTATGTAGTGTAACCTTAAGAGAAGACTTTCTATATAATTGTGAGTCTTTTACTTTAAGTGCTGGCACTTTCTAATGTCGAAACTTGGGCTAGCTGTTTCTGAATTAATGACAAACCTACTTTCACCAATTCTGACATCAATGACACGGATTTATTATAAATATTAACCACTTTGCTGTAATCAAAAGGCACATGTGACCATGTTGTTGCCAGTGGCAACACCATGTTTATCTTCCAAAATGGCACTATATTACCCGCAGTGCATTGCGCGCTGAGACTGCAAATAGGCTTAGGCCTATATGGAACTCTTCCCCATGGAGCAGGCCTAATGACGGAGAAGTGACTCCGAGTTCTTGACGTATGCAAATGATATATGCCTATATTAAATCATGTCACTAGCCTACAACCAATATTCCAGGGGCGTGAATTAAAAAGAAAAGCTCAAAAGGTGTGACTGGCAGATTGTGACACAGTTTTAAAATAAACCAACAGCACAATTCATAGCCTAAGGGCCTAGGCCTAAATCGAAAAAGTTTCGTAGACACATCATGCACAGTCACCGGCTCGCAATCATGCTACCCCCTGAACTGTGGGGTCAGACGTCCGCTCCTCACCCACGAGAGTTCGTGGGAGAGGAGCGGATGTCGAACCCATACTAGTTTCTAGTTCTGGAGGTCGGCCTCGCAATCATGCCAGTTCTCGGACAACGCAAAATCGCGGGCTGAGATTCATAATTAACTTCGTCTCCCAAACTTTAGGGTCCATTTTATTGAGTAATCATACCCCATATTGCTGTTGTAATTCAGCCAGTCGTCTAGCACGAATTTCTTCAAGATCGCTATCAGCCATGTTTAAGAATGAGAAACAGATAATCTCACGTTAAAAATGAGAAGAATTGAAACAACAGTGAAGTCAGCCTGAACACCGTCTCAACGTTCAAAGGAAAAACCTGCAAGCACTACAAGAACAAGACCCACATTAGACCGGTATATTGAGGGCGCTATTTACAAAATTAACAGGCAACATNTCATATTTTACTAGCAGAGAGCTCACTGCCAAAGCTGAAAGCCAGCCACGAATGCAGCGGCGGACAGGTGACTTTGGTCCTTTGGACTTAAATTGGAGTTAGTTGTTTGTAGAAAGCCTAATTCAACATTTGTCAGCTGAGCTTGCATCATGGCTTCGTCACAACTCGACAACATATTTGACACATTCGTTGAGAATCTGGACCTAGTTACCAGCAAACTAAAGGGTAATAACTTATTTTTGGTGAGACATGTTCAGATTGACTGGCTAAAACATTTGTAGTCTGATTAACCATGGTTACTAGGACTTTACGAATTGCCTCGTTTAACATTTGGACATGGTCTATCCAAATTTTAAGAGGTGATTCGCAGAGTCCTTTTTTTTTTACTCAGACTAGACTTCTTGTAGGAGTCTACAAATTACTGTTTTAATATTTGGTAATGATTAAGAGAATCGCTGGACAAAAAGAAGACTAGGTCCTATTTCAACTTGTAGAGTCCTAATGTCCGTGACCACGATATAGTCACCAGGTCTCTCATTTCCCACCTACTGTCAAGTCTGATTGGTTTTCACAGTGAGCGGCAAATAAGGGGCCTTGGGAACAGACACCCCTCTGTATGGACTTCCTATTTGGCTCCATCTGACTGTGGCATCTCCTCTGTGCTGAAGTTTGAAGTTTGATTAAGGTCATGTTGGTAGAGAGCCTAATGTACAAACTTAGTTTTAATGGAACTTGAGATCTACCCAAACTAAATGATATTCCAGTTGTGCAAGAACTGGAACTTGTTTTTCATGAGTGCCCTTCACTGATATATAACGTGACCATCTGTAATGATGCCACCATGAAGAGTGCCACCTATTATCTGACAATGTCCGCCTTAAATGGTACCACCATGAAAAGAGGGTGTTAAGCCCCACCCAGCCTCTGCTTTTCGAGTTTATGGAGATCGATTGACTGATTTAAAAACCCTATCAGCAGACATGCTTATTGTGTTTTCATAATTACTCCTTTCCAATTAACCCCTCCGAGCAGACTCCGCCCCCTAAATTACACCCTTCGTCCATGAGGCGATTCTAGTCTCAAGATCAGTTCCTGGCCATTCCTGAGCCTAAACAACTGTTTTATGTCAGCCAATGCATCCCTGAGGTCCCGTCTAACCAATTCCATTATTCTAATGGGGAAGTATAAGTAATACCAGGTCACAACTGAAACGGCCGACCAGTAAAAAAGGAGCAGCTACACCCCAAAATCACACCCTTACTCCATGAGGTGATTTTTGTCTCCAAGTCGGTTCCCGGTCATGCCTGAACTTGTACAACCTGTATGACTGTTTTATGGTACCTAATACATCCCTGAGGTCCCCTCTAACTACAATCCATTATTCTGCTGTGGAAGTTCAAGTAATACCAAGTCACAACCAAAACAGCCGATCAGTCAACACCTGTCTCTACACAAAGAGATCCATTTCCTGATAGAGACCATATGGGCTCCTTGGGGTGACTGATCTTTCAAGAATCTTAACTCGGCAGTGGTTGGGGTCTAGCCAATGGGAGTTAACAGGCTTGTGGTGTATGCCTGGGGTGAGGATTACAAAAAATCTCTTCCAAGTTGGCCCATTGGAAAAAAAGTTATGATCATATTATTTGGTGATATGTCAATCAGCTCCGTTGATCCCAGGGTTAAAACAACCTTGCTGTTCCACTGCCATACCTTTAAGTTCAGTTGATGGCTATTGCATTTGATATTTGTACATTTTTTCAATTTTGGTAGAAGAGGATTCACCTCGTCCTACAGCACCTGATCACAGTTTGGAAGAATTCTGGAAAAAGCTTGGTAGGTTGTACCATTTAGCTTGTTGGTATTTAGACAAATGCCTTCCAAATGTTGCATTTTCACCTGGAAGTTTTTTCGTTGACTGGTCTCAGTACCAAAAACTGTTCTAGATACCAACTACAACTTGGAAATTGGTGCTTTTTTAATTTCAAAAGAGAGGGTCCTTTTTTAGTTTTGTTTTGCCATCACATATGTACGGCAACACATACATGTACTAAAGAACAATTATGTCATGATTTCAATTGTTTATTTCCTATTCTACACAGGGGCTGCATTTGAGTCTCTTTCAGCCGAGGCTACCAAGCTTGCCTTGTGGTTCAGCAAACCACCTCTGCCCAAGCCGGAAGAATGCCAGTCACTCATCGCCAGTGTAGAAATGTCCACCATCGCATTGGTGTCTGTGTTCTATGGCTTGCCCAAGGAGCATGGTATGGAATGAAGCTACTTTGCATCATCACTGTGCCTGCATTGGGCCTTGGTTGAGGGGCAAGGCTTTCCAGTTTTCCAAATTCCACACCTAAGCCTAAGTTTATTTGCAGTGCTGCTGAAGTGCACAGATTTTTGCCACCAGATCCTCCACCCATTTCAAAGACGACTGCTGTCAATAAGAACATCAAAGAGCACTGTAAGAGCCTCAGTGTTTCATGCCAAACCAGGATCTGGATCACTGATCCAATACCTGGTTCACTCTATCCAATAGACAGGCTCTTGTGTCAGTTAACCAATGTCGGATCACTGCACAGTCTGGAACTGCATGAAACAAACGGGCCTTAATGTAATTCAAGGTTAGGATCACGTGACAAAGCCAGGGGATGTCTTTACATGTGGCAAGAAATAACGCAACTGAGGTTGTAAAAAGGGCAAATACACTATTTTTATTTGACTTCCAACTAAGAGCTAAGCAGTTCTGTGACGTTGATCCAGCATGGTGACCAGAATCTGTACGTCAGTTGGGTCACACAGTGGTGCGCACCTGTCATGTTTAACTTTAATTGCCCCCTGCTATGCTGAGGCCAGGAATGGGCTAAAAAGAAAACGCAGAAAAAGCATGTGAGGAAATTTAACACCAAGGTGCTTGTCAACACAGAGGTGCCTCAACGACTGTTCTTTTGCTGCATGTTGACTCACGGGTCAGAGTTGTTGCGCTCATTTGAACTCGTCAGTAACCATGTGGAGTAGACTGTTGGGTTTTGGTTAGTGGACCAGTATGCATGTCATTGTGTCAAACCCATTTAAACGTTTTGTTTTCCTTCACATCTTATGAACCAGGACTAATGCTTCGCAGAGCCACTCGACACACAGTGATGGGAGCCGTGGAAGGGATTAGAAACCTTGCCAAGCGCATCAAGCAGGACCACTACCACAGGTAAGGTGTACATCCGGGTGGAAATCGTGTCAGTGTTGTCGGTGAGTCCATCACAAGTCCCTTCAAAAAGCCAGTCATACATGACAGGGTGAACAATGACAACAGAATGCATTTGTCACAGTTCATTTGAACGGCTTGCGACTTGGCCTGAGACTGGTTGACTTGTGATGGACTTGCAGGTACATATTATTACAGCCGCCTTAAATGAGTAGAATATTTTTCAATCCTTATATGCAAAGCATTCCTGTCGGTTGGTCTAGTGCATAGTATGTCTCTGTGAGCCCTTAGGCACTTTTATTAATGTCCAATTAGTGTGACAAATTGTCCTATATAAAAGTGGGTGTGTTGTCGTCACACCAGAGCTTTACTCCGCACGAGGGGCGTATTTTTTTCTGCTGCCACTCTCCAGCATCCCCACTTATTACCAACCGTTCTCGTGGCCCACGTCCAATGGGCCATGCACTGGTCAAGCCAATTCAAGACCATCTCACCTTAAGCCTGAGCTACCGCTCAATTTTCCTGCAAGGCCCACTCAAGACCCTGACCTGCTGCAGTGCTGCTCACTGCTGTCCACTAAGGCCATGATGGTCCCAGCCTGACTTCCATCTCCTGCCAGGAACCCAAGACAAGCCGCAGTGACCAGACCCACATCGCATGAATCCCCCGTGCCCTAGGCCCTCCACACATTTCCATTTTATCCCTTTTGTTAATTCAAAACTTGTTTGTATATTTTTCTTTTTAAATTAATTTTATTTGCATTCACTGATTTTGGAAAATTTAATTTAATTTTAATCAAGTTAACCTTTGTCTCCACTGTCTTTAATTTACGAGTCATGTCTTTTGATTAGAAGCCTTTTCCTTTGATGACATGATTAAAATTTATCCTGAAAAGAATATCTGACTTCATAAGAGATATTTATTGGGGGCTTGTCTGGGAAATGAAACAAAAAATCTTGAATGACAATCATTTACATTTACCGTTTATTCTGTACTTACGAATGTGTTGACAAAGTGGACAGCCTGCATGAATAATTACCACATACTTGACCAGCCAACAGGAATGCTGTGCATATAAGGAATGAATAATAATCCACTCATTTTAAGGCACCTGTAACTCTCACGATGGACAGGGAATCATGTCTTGCTGCAGTTTAGCCCACCAAGTGCTTAATTAAACAGTTAAAGGTGACACTGTAAATTTGGCCAGCACTAAGGCGACAGTCCCAGTGACTTGGCTATGGATGGCAGTAAGATGCACATCTATAGGGTGTGGCTCAGCAGCTTCTTGGACTCAGCCACAGCCATAACAACAAGATGCAGTCTCACTGTGCCACAAGTTCCCCATTGCCTGTAGACCAACAGAATTGTTCAGTTGAATTCTATTGGAAAGCTCCAGCAACTAAAATTACCCAGTCCTTTGTGTATTACCTGTGTTTTCAAAGACGCTTCTGAAACATTCAGCAGGTTTTGACATGCTTCCCTACATTTTAATTTGGAAAAAAAACAGCAGTGACAGCCAGTTGCATGCAACTGGCAATGTGTGGGAGCGATGCGATGCCTTCAAGACACTTCCAAGGAACAATAAGGATGCACTCCTCAGTGCAGTGAGCAATGTGAGAGGACTTGTTAATGATGCAGTGGATGAACTGAAAGAGGTAACACAAGATTGTAGTCACTTGTTTCAACCCTCCTATGCAAAGATACATTCTTGACACAGTTGTTATACCAGTCAAAATCAGTCAAATTTCCCATATCTGTCTGTGTACAGGGGGAAATCGAGTGGAAGGAATTTTTGACTGTTTTTTTGACGGGTACAGCAGAAGGAGGGTTAATTAAGCAATCCACTTTGTTCCCACTTCCTCTCTGTATTCAGACATGTAATGGTATTTCCATTTCATGCGTTAGAAATGGATAATCACTGGCTTGACCAACAATACACACATATTTTTTAACTTTGTAAAAATATGTTGCCAGTGGTGTAACTTTATTAGAAATTGTGAAATGAAATGTACACATTCTGTCCGCAAGCTGCATTTCATCAGCCTTCGGCATTGCTGTGAATTAAATGTGTGCACCCCCCAGATGCCGCCCAGACATTTCATCTTAGTTACACTGCAGTTTATTGCCAAAATAAAAGATGCCATAAACAGTGAAATCCGGGTTCGATTTTAGCATATGACTCACTCTGTGACATGTCCTGTTGACTCCATTTGTGAACCATAGAGGGCGCTGCAACACTCAAAACCAAGAGTGAAGACTGGCTGGCTCCACATCCCCCCATTATATTCTAGAATTCCGAAAGGGAACATAAAACATGTACCATGCTTACTGGTTAATGTCATCTACATACCAGGGAAAGTTTTTCAGAATGGACCACTCTCATTTTGCGTACAACTTGTATGGGCAGCCAAAGTTTGTAGAAATACCATCTTCAAGTTTTGGTTGGTTTTCAGTACCTCAAATTCATTCACAATGGACGTCTGTCCCATTAATTTACATAGGGTTGTATTTTCATTTAGTATTAAGTAGTGAGTGTGTTATTATCTGGTGTGCTGATAGTTGTGTGGGATTTTTAACACTGGGGGAATTATCGTTATACTTTTGTACTGATGGCCAGCCAGTCTCAGTACTACTTCTAGGAAAAACTTAACTGTGGCATAAAAAGTGAAGTGCTTGGGCACAGAATTTAGTAGTTTCAGAGGTGTGACTAGCCACTTAAAAGCTGTAAACAGCTACCGAGAAGCTGAAATGTAAAAAGTTCGCACACTTTTGTACACACCAGGTGTATAAAAAAACTGAATTTCAGGGTCAACATCGAAACAAAAAAAGCTGACATCAGCTAAAAAGCTGAATTCTCACACCCCTGTATTTTCCCCAGTGCTGTATCTCCCCAACTCCAAAATTATACCCCAAAATTATACCCCAAGTCTGATTATAGAGTGTCCCTCCTGCAGTACTGGAGGAATCAATTAAATTAAATTGTTCATCAATCCCTATTCCCTTGTCACAGCTCCAGGAAACTGGTGGTGGTCCGGAAGGGTGGGATGACTTGGGCCTGATTGCTGGGGCACCCTCTGGTGACACCAACATGCAGGAAGGCTGGAGTGAGCATGACCGGATGTTGCTCCCTCCCTGCTCTGGCCTCCTGAAAGCCTCTGCCTCCTGTGTCAAGAAAGTGTCAGGGGCGGTGCAAGCCCACGGCCAGTGGAAGGAGAACTGGCTAGTGGCACAGTTGGACGACTTGGGCGAGATTGCTGAGCGGATCAGCCCGGCTGCGGACGACTTGGTCATGTGCCTGTATGCCCCAATCAGACAACAGGATGTCCGACAGAATGTAAGCTCGCAACTTTTAAATCGTGGTAAAGAGACCTGGTGCTTCAAGGTTGTGAACCAAGTTTGTTTCTAAAAATGAGCAGTGTTGGATTGCTGCCCGACCCAAATTTCACCAGTGCCTGTGAGGATACACAAGATACAGTGCTTTGTGGCCTGTTGGGCCAGTGTGTGAGACTTGCCTGCACACAGTGGTTTGCATACATACACGTGTACAGCAGAGTATGCACTGCAAGTTTTCCTCAGAATGTGCACAAGCTCCATATGAATGCATCAAGAGGGGGTATACTTACATAGTTCATGAGCTTGGACCTACTCCCTGCCGAGACAGCATTCGAAACAATTTTTTTTGGGGGGGGGAGGATGATTGGAACAGAATATAATTTACATTTTTGTTGCTTAGCCTACTCGAGGCATGGAACCGATCTGTCATTTGAGATTTGATAAATCATATACATGTGGGCCCTTTCATTTGACCCACGTTTACAAGCTAGTTTAATGGCGAGCCCCACATCTACAAGATGTCATTACTTTGTACTCTCCCAGGCCAACAAACTGGCAGAGGTCCTGCTGAGTCTCCTGGACCAGACGAAGACGTCGCACGTGGTCAAGGAAGCCGACAATTCGTGGCTAACCTTTCTGAGCAAAGCCGTGGACCACAACCTGGAGAAAATCACACAACTGACTGCCCCTGCATCACCACACAATGACAGATAAGAGAACGGACAATGCCCAAAGGACTGAGTTTCCATTGCAAAGGCAACCCAATGCCCAGGGCATACAACAAAACATCTATGGGATGTCAGACCGTATGTAAACACATTACTGGGAGTGAAGCACATCAACATCAGAAACACCATTTAAATGAGAAAATATGGATTATTTATTCATCAGCTCTGTTTTGATTCCAGTTAACATTGTAAAAATTGTAGCATTTTAGTACAAACACTCCCATGTAAGATTTTGAACTACAAGACCACTTAGGGTATTCCTGAAGAATATAGTACATAGTGCCGTTATAACCAGAAAGTTAAAGCGTCGCTGGCTCTGAAAGTTGTTTGTGAACACAAGACCGCAGAATTGACCTCTAAAAAAATGGCAATTAAGTGTCTTTCTCTAAAACAGAAGATAAAGTTAAGTACATGAAATGTAAACAGATTTTCCCAATCATTAAAACAAAGAGTGTTAAAGTGTTAATGTCTTGTGCGAACAAAATGTAACAAACTGTATGGCATTTGGGAAAAGTAAAGAAGCAAAGCCTCGAAACTTGGAACCCAATTTATACACATAGAAAATATTTAAGAAATACCCAGCTTTGCTTGCTTTGTCAAAAACGAAACAACTTTTGCGAGGCACGCCACATTATTATTTGTAGTTCAGAATTTGCCCGTTTGTATAATTTGGGCAAAAATTTATCTTGAACAAAAATACAAATTTCACAGGAAGTAACACTACAATTGCACCGCGGTGAAAATGTTCAGTTTCGTCACCATAGGAATGATTCCGTCACCTAGTGTACATGTTAAAAAGAAACTTCAGGAACATGCATCTTTCTTTGCAACCAGCCCTTTGTGCCTTTTGCAAGACTTAAAGCCTGTATGCTTCACACAGATCTAAATTGCCATCAATGATCCCAGGGCTGGTTCGCACTAACCATTAGGTGAGTTCTGGGGTCAGTGAACCAATGACATATCACTGATAGCAATCCGAATCCATGTGAAACAAACAGACCCTACAAATAAGTAATAGTTGAGAATTTTACATTGCATTGCATGAATAAACACAAAGAATGTGATATAGCATACTTGTTCGACCCTGACCTTCCCAGATCCCTCAAAATCCACTGGGTTTCAAAGGATTTTGAAGGGTTTCAGGCAGGAACTACCCAGGCTCTAGAACCTTGACGTGAAACTAAATGCTCCTTGTTGCTATGTACAGCTTGTTGTGGGAAATATTGTTACAGTAAGAAATATTGGACAGACATTTTCAAATGACTGTAATGGGTCAATCTCTGTGGCGTTGTAAAAAATGTTGGCTGCTCTGTCTTGCTTTTTTAGAAAAACTGAAATTTCCCCCTGCCAAAAAATAAAATAGTGGTCCTAGTAGTTAAGAAAGGGTGTTTAAAATGAAAAACCACTGTAGTTGCCACCTGAATCAAATTTGTTTAACAAAATAGTAGGCTTTTTCCCAGGAAATGTTCTGAGCCAACCCAAAATCAAACAATGCATAGTGACAAAGGCAACAATACTTATACGTAAACAAAACTGGAGCATTAAGGCTCACATCAAGTACACTTTAGCTGGGCTTACCTGAAACTATTAAACCAGTTGAGGCAGGAGTCAGATTTAGGATTGAGCAAAATGTGATTACTCATATGCTGATCTAGGTACTGTTACAAAACATACTTAATTCATCAAGCCCATCAAATGTAAATTGCTTACGAAAATTTCTATACTCATTTATACAAAAACACTTTTGCACACAGTGTTCAACATTTAATCCTTTCAGGATGCTAAACAAAGAAAGCACAGCTATCTTTTTAAGCACCAATTCTACTAAGTTTGCTAAGGGTGGATTCCATGCTGTTCACGCTGAAACCAAAGGTGCTTCAGTCACAAAATAGCCACCTCCCATCTTGTGTCTGGGATCTTCCCTTTATTTACAAGTTTAACAGTTACACATATAAATCACGAAAAAAAAAATAAGCTACAAACCACGCAAACCTGCAAAGCTTTGTCTGTTTCACACAATTGTTTCAATCAAGAATCTGGCTAAAGGTATTTCCGACTTGTACTGTGCCAGACAATATCAATCTAGATACAATGAAAATTAATTCTTCTGCTTACCTCAACTGTTGATAGCTGCCCTTCTCTTGTGCAATGCAATAAAAAAAACTAGCTAGGCTTCAGTACTTCTGAGGAACAGATTAATCATAATAGTTAACCTGGCTTAATTTGCAAGTGGCTTCTAAAGGAATCGCAGAATCAAAAGGCAAGACGTTTTCAAATATATACAGCTAGTCACAACTCTTAGAAACAGAAAATATAATTTCAAATTGCATGACCCTTGAAGGGTTCACAGGCACTTAAAGTCATTTCAACATGTCAACATTACATGGTTGCATTTTACTGCTTTGTTGCTTCACCGATATTTGTTTCTGTCTCGCGTTGTCTTTAATTTCAACCGACATGACTCGCCATTTCCAAACCAGGCTGAAGTGGGTAATTTTGATGTCTGACAACTCCTCTCCCGCCAAGACAAGGGAAGTTGCAGACTTTTGTACTGATCATGTGTATATTGGCCTCATTTTCTAAATAACCTAATTTTCTAAATAACCACTTATGATTACTCAGCCAGGTTTGGGAAAGATCAATGATGGGTCACATGTTTAGGAGAACTTGAAAAACAAAAAAATCAGTACTCGTACGGTTATAGTGCATGTATCAACAGACCCTTTTTCTCCATAAGGAGAGCCACTCAGAGTGAGTTCTTCACAATGAGTTCTTCATAGTTAAGCCCGACCGGTAAACCAACTCGTCCATTTCGTTGTTAAAATCTAATTCTTAACATTCTAGTTTTATTGTAAAGTTGCGAATCTAGGGCGGCGTGGCCTCTATTTCGCCTTATTATTTCAGTGACCCTACCACATCCATTGTCATGGGGTCCTTCATGAGACATAATCATCCCTGACTGACAACCAATAACCGGACAGATAAAGCCATTTTGGCTCCAAGTCCGAATGCATGTCAACTCACAAAACAATCCTCGAGTTGTCACTTGTCATGTCACATTGAAGGCCAGTACTTGACATCTTTTTTATGCAGCTCCATTGCCAGCTCTGGGCATGGGGGGGGCAAGCCATAGTTCCAGCTCAGGGCTTATCAGAAGAACAATAGATAATTTTGATTCTTATGGTATTTGCGAGATGGTTGGGAGGGGGAGGCACAGCTACTTGCCGGGGGGAAGGGGGAAGCCCCTCCAGGTCCCCTTTCAGGGACAGGCCTGATGTTACGATTGATTGACGCAACCTAATATGCACACCATCCCATCATTTTAGACACAAAATGGAATCATGCACCATGTCACACATGGACTCATGTTGCAACTCTTTCAATGCATGGCTGTAACACTGCTGTTATGCTTGAATTGGTCTACCAAAACCAGACACTCGGACAATCATGCCACCCCATCTCTCATTTCCTCCACAATGTACCATTAAAATCCGTTAGTTACATTCCCATAATACTGACAGACCCTGAAAATTATTAGCAGTAACTAACACAATTATCGAAGTAAAACTTTAACCTCAGTGAGTAACCATAACATCTCAAAACAGTACGGAGTATCTGGTCTCAACATGGACAGGGCACACTACACCACAACTATGGGAGGCTGCAATGGCCATAGTCCTATTGAACCCTGCAACTGGCCCAAAATGATTGTTAAATTACTGACTGCCATGACCCTGTTTACACATTCAAATTTTGAACACAAGTGACATTAATAGCATAAATCAAAATTTGTCCTTATTTTGAAGCCATGTTAATGAAAATGAGACATAACTGCAAATTCAGTGATGGTAATTTCCAGAAATAATATGCGATCTTTGTTTTTTCAACTAAATCTCTTATCATACCAGAGATTCTTTCCATTTCTGGTTGCACCGTGCTGCGATATTTGCATTGTTGGCACAGAGTTTTTGAACAGTTACCAACCCCTCCCCCCAAAAAAATTCCACAGATCCACTGATTGCTGTACCTACATGTACTGCTACGGCAGATTCAACCCTGGCAAGGTTGATGGGTCAAGTGATAAACGGGGATGACATTTGGAGGATGAAGAGAAATTCATAGAACATCCACAGCAGAAATGGCAACAACTGCAGGGCTAAAATATCATGAATTGTCAGGCCCCTCCGATCCTCCTACTGTATGGTTTAACGGCACAAATATGCACAAATGCCAACAGTCACCGTTTTCCATGTGTTTCTCTACATAGAACACAAATATGCACAGCTTCAATACGTATACAGTTGGTTGCCAGCTCAAAATGATAAAGGCTCTTTTGTGCAGCCCTGTTCACCACAGCTGGTTTACTGCACCAGTGTGCACATGAAACAGTGAGGCAAAATGCAACCTGATATTCCTCTGAGGGATGGTTGGTGCAGTGCACAGTATACATCACCTGCATAAATCCCCGTCATCTGATTGGTGATCCCTGATCACATGGCATTGAATTGTTGGTACCAACACACAGCACGTGCACGCAGAGTGCAAAAAATTTATTAAAAACTGTGCGTTAGAAACGAAGAACGAACACCTCCGGGTTGATTGCACTGCAGCTTCTAGTGGCGCAAGTTTCTTTATGTCAAAATGATGGATGATCAAGTTCCACTGTTCACAATGCTACGAAATAATTATAAGAACTTGTTGTTGTAAGCAACGCTGATGCTGCCAATATAAGGAAACAGATTAAATGAGCTCGGAATATCACGTTGGAAAATTCACGGATTCACAACTGGACAACTTCCGGTTTGAATCAGTTAATTAATCCAGCTGTACTCAGAAAATCAAATGACCAGGATTTATTCAGGTGTTGTACAAATCAAATAATGAATGTTTCGCATTTGTGTGATGGTAAGAATAACTGTATTCGGTGAGAGATGAAACGGTCTATTCCACTCAGCTTCGCCTCATGGAATGGACCATTTCCTCTGTCACCTCATGCAATTACTCTTACCATCGCATTCTGAAACATTCATTGTTTGTATACTGTGGCACAGAGGTGCATCTTTGTTGGGCTTACCAACTGACCCAAAGAGTAGCTTCAGCAGAGGAGGCTTTTGACAGCTTATTACAGCTGACACAAGTTCTCTTCCAAATGGTTCTGTGAGCCAGAATCTTGAACTTTATTTCATTTTGAAAAACATAAAAAATAGCAAAACCTGAATAATCACACATCTCAAAATCTGCAATTTGGGGGTAAAAAAATTCCAGATATGCGAAAAGATTTTGAGGGGGCAGACCCCTGGATATGACTTCCGCTCTAGACAGGTGGAAGATATGAGTTCGAGTACAGCATGTGCATGCTTGTAGATTTTGTCCAAGCAACCTTTGATAGCACTGAGTTTACAGTGCTTACTTAAGTTGGTGGGTAAAAAAAAATTTAGAAAGTTTGCATTTCTCAATCTCTCCGTCAACTGTCACTAATGCATGCTTTTCCATGAAATGTCACACAGTAAATAACATTTCTCTGCACGCTTGACAACTTAGAAATTTCTTCTCAGAAAAAAGATTATCGGGGACTGAAAGCAGCCCAGATGATTTTATTTTTGTGATCCATTCCCATTCTGTTAAGGGCCTTTCTTGGAAGACATTTCAGTTTTTTCCCAATCATGGCTTGTAATGACGAAACAGTTTAGGTTTATAGGTAGGGTTTGTACGGTCTACTGCCCATCACAAGCACATCTCGCTCATCTCCTTTGGAGCTGTCAGACAAAGGTCTCAAGATATACCTATTTGTTAGGAATGACTCCTCTTCTCGGCTACGTGACTGTAATGACACTGGACTCAGTGTGGCTTCTTATTTCCCCGTCTTCTGTAATTGAACCCTGTTTGAAGCTGGTACCCTTATGTGGTGTCAATGAAGGCTCGCTTTCTGTGTCATTGGCTGATGCCGAACCCCCGCTGACCTCTGCATCTGGACCGTGCAAACTGTGAAATATGGAATTCTTGTTAGCAAAACACCAACCATGTGTACATAGGAGAGGGCTACCACTGCAAAAGTGCCTGCTCTGGTTATTTTTTCTCACCCCAAGCTGGAGAAATTCAACAAGTGCAAAAAAGGGGCTAAAATACCTCCTCTCAAAACTACCCCAAAACACAAAAGACAAAAGGGGTAAAAGAAAGTGAAAATTGAAGCTGTACATTTAACAAAATGGAAGAAACAGATAGGATACAAGTAAGTACGCTTCATGCTGATTGTTATACTTACCATGGCTAGTGGGGAAATATTTCCACTGAACCATTCCCCATGACAAATTCCTGGCTTCAAGCACAGAGATCTGCTGAGGGCAGAAAATGTGCTTAGCAAGAGTGGGTCTCCTGTCCAAATATCATGCATTCCAATGTCAATTGGTTCCCTGTGAATTTCTGCTCAGCGCAAAAATTTGATAAGCAGCAGTTTCTGCTTGGGAGATCTATGAAATTGGGCCTCAACTTGAGCACTAAAACATTGGCTAGTTTAACGGTCTGCAGAGCGACTTCCAAACATACCTGCTGTGCTGAGCTTCAGTTTGCGGGAACGACAGCGACTGATCGGCCTCTGCTTGGGAATGTAGGTCTACCTCGATGGTCAAGCGGTCAGCCGACACCGGAGATGAGGAGTTTTCAGCTTTACTCCGGTCATTACTGCAATTACAATGAACATTTACACAGAAAGGATTGCATTTTAATACAGTGGAAAGCACTTTTTTATTTTTCTTCATTTGAACTCGAATCAAAGATGACATTCTGAATGACCCAGTTTGAGTTTGGGATTTCAGTAGTGCATGTGCAAAATGAAGCATGTTGTAAGACATTCGAGAGCATCATTATGTATGCAGGGTAGGCCCAATCAGGGTGACTGCATGGCAACCCACAAGCACCCAACATGTTCAAGTTAGCATGACGTTGGGAGCTGTGCCTTTTTGAAATAGCAAACTGGTCCATCACAAGCGTCATGTCAACTTAGGAGTTTCTTAGACACTGAAACAAGGACACTGATGCACTGAAACTACAAATATACTATTGTAATTCTCCAGGGGTTGCAGGCTCCTATCACACATCAAGCCAATAAACTCTATTCACCAGTCAGCCATATTGAACTGAAAGTGACGTTAACTGTTCCGTAAGAGACCATTTCCTCAATGGAATGCAGCACGTTCCAAAGGCCCACCGGTGTCCTAAACAAGAACGTTGCCATGGGCAACGAATGTCCCCAACTTTGGAGATGCTCCCTTAACAGGCCAAATTCAATGGTGGTTGTCAAATAATCATTGATCACACTTGGCCAGTGTTAGTACTGCCCTTTCATCTGCTCAAAATATCTGGTCCTTGATGGTGCTTTGGAACAATAACTGACAGAGTGTTTCTGCTTGTTCATGTACATAGGGAGGGGAGGGCTTCCTATTGAACACTGATTGGTCCATATTCTCACCCATTCTCTAGCTGACTGTTGAGTAGGTGCCTGATGCGCTCTTCACAGGCTTCCACCTTTGTGTTCAGGGCAGCAATTTGCCGGTCTCGTTCGGCTAGCTCTAAGCGAAGACTGTACACAGTTTCATCCAAAGACTCGCACAAAGCCTATAGGAATTCGCCAAAAAATGGAAGATCAACTCATCAGTGAGGAGTTGCTCCTTGCATCTCATATCTATACGTCACAGATGAAGCGGAGGTCTCAGGACGGGCATAATTCCACCACCATTTTAGTATTTTCAGTAATTTACTTTGTCAAATCACTTGTACGCTCTGCAGCGTGCATTTAATAGTGACATTATACATGTACTTCTAACTTTCTGATTAAGTCACATGTATCCTCAAGACTGGCAAAGATTTCTTCATATCCTATAGTGTAACAGGAAGCTTTGGTATTTAGACAATAACTCTTGTTCACAACCTGAATGGTCCAACTTTTGTAGGTTGCATGCCATGGGTGCTACCATGCTGCCCTCCTGGATTTTATTTTCATGAATAAATGATGATTTGCTCATGCGGTACAAAGTTTCCACTGACTTAGCTCATAATGAACCTGGTTTTCATCACAATTTTCTCCTTTGAGAAATGACACTTCTGTCACAAAAGGGCGACAGTAGAACGAAAAACACTGAAATCCATGAATAAATTTCAGGGTAAAACTTGTATTACCTAAGGCGCACAGCGTGCGTAAAATCATAGACTTGCTTTTTTTATATTCCTAGTCTTTGCAATGTCTGTGTAATTGAGAAGAGACATGGTTTTCAAATAGGGACCAGAAAGGGAACTTTTTGTGGACTTACCATGAACCTGAATTTACGGTTTTTTCAACGAAGGCATTAACTCTAACACGGGTACAGTGCAATGTTATTTATAGAAACACAGTTGGAGAAAAAAACCTGTTCTGGTGCACAGGTGCACAAAGACATTCACCTGCCAGTGTACATCTTTGCTGTGGATTGTGCCTGCAGTTAGGAACTTTTCAGCAGACCTTTACTGCAGGGCCATGCAGTTGGGCTCGGGCCTGTGTCTTTACTGTACTCACCCTGCTCTCCTCCAAGTTGTCGTGGGGACCTGGGGGATCGTCTAGACATAGGAACTCCCTCACTGGCCCACTACAATAGCAGACAAGAAAATGCAATGCAGATTGATGGCCCTACTGCAGGCTTCAAATACTAAATTGTTCCTGCAGGTAGACCAGCACACTGCTCTTCACGAAAGGAGCATGCAGATGATGTACACAAATATGCACATGAGAAATGTGTGGTTTGACACCATCAGTAAACTTTAGGCAAGAAGTTTTCATAAGAAACTAGAGCATTGATGTAATCTGGATGAGTGTCACTGACCAAGTTTTTATAGAACTGCTGAGCACATGAATTTGCCCAGCACAGGAAGATTCTGCTGAACCAAAAGAAAACCGTTTTTAGTCAAAATGTAGTAATTAGATTATATCTGCCAGAGACCAATTTTCCTGTATATATTTGCCAAGAATATATATTTTATGACCAACTTGACTTACTGCACCGATAAAAAATCTTTCCTGATGCTACACGACCAGGAAGCATCTCAGGAAGAAATAAAACCTTAGTATGCTATTTACATATTTACTAGGCTCTGTTAAGTATGGTACCCTGAAACATGGCTTGTCCAGCTGTAAACTAAACACTCACAATAGAGAAAGTTTGTGGTTACAGCATATTTCATGGGTCAAAGCAAAATAAAGGTTTTTGTGCTATCAGAATCATGCTGTGTCCAAATTACTTGGAAAAGGCTCAACATTGCACACAACTCTGAAGGAAGTAGCTGCAGCCACAACATAGACTCATGCATAATTTCCAGCCATAGCCAAGTAATTCAGACGCGACCTTAGTAAGTTTGTGCTTGCATCGTAAAGCACATTATGGTGATCGAAAGTGAAGCATTCTGTTCTCCGCAGTGCCATCAAGTTGGGTCAAGCCATTTCACAAACTACCATCAATCCTGCTTACCTGAGCACGATGTCCTTGTGACTGATGATGTTATCGATGAAAGCCTGCAGGCCCAGCTGTCTGTCTTCCAGAAAGTTAAGGTCAAAGTTGCTTCCGAACCACCTCTTGGGAGGCAAGGCTAGTCTGAAGATTGGGAAGATCTCTCTCAACTGTACAAGGAACCCACATGATGAAGATATACGTAGGATTTCAATTAGCTAATGTTAATTTCAGTAAAAAAGGGGCATGAACAAGTACTATGTGAACTTGACTTTTCTGGCAACCCATGTAAAAATGACAAATAATAAGACAGAGAGGTAAACAAGTTTTTAACCATACGTTGTATATTTGAAATGTTTGTAGTGGACATTATGGTGGTGTGAAATCTGGGAAATCTTCACTGTTTGCTGTTGTAAGTGAACACTGATAAATAATTGGTGGGTGGTGGTGTGAAATCTGGGTAATCTTCACTGTTTGCTGTTGTAAGTGAACTCTGATAAATAATTGGTGGGGGCTCTTCACGGTTAGCAATTTACTGTATATCCATGTACTGCAATTTACTGGACAAAAAAACACAATTTGCCTACAATCTTGATTACGGGGGAATTGTTACTCCCCTCCCATTGTGATGCCTCTGAGGGCAGAACCAACTGTGGCCGACTCCAATCATCACAGGATGCCCTAAACCACGATGTCCTATTATACCATGGTAAATCTGACTGGTTGATAATCGATCACGTGATACGCTGCGAACACGCATGCATCAGATTGCAAAGACATGTTCATCTTGGTACGAGTGAAGTACTACATGTACACGGAGGGGAGGGGGAACATTACCATGATCTCTCTCACGGCTCAAAGTGTCGTTCCCACCGCACTGCAGCCTGCAGCCTTGGGCATGAGAAAAGATTGTATAGCACCGTGCAGCGGCGCAAGAGTGCGAACTTGGACAAGATGGTGACATCACCATGGGTGCAATTTGAGTGTGAATGTTAATGCATAGGCGCAGGCATACCAGGTGTGCTTGCCTGTTGTGGTGTCACGGCGACTGCACCTGTTTCCTTAATGTAGCGTATTTACACCAAAACGGCACCCATGCGGTAACAACGTTTTAAACATATGCACGGTGAAGTGTCCATCTTGCGCCGCTATGCATCGTTATACAGTTTTTGGACATGAGGATGTCAAGCCATCCAGGTTCTATGCTAGTTCTTTTTGATGAGATGTACTGTCGGAAACAGTGAAGCACTCTGTTACAATCACCAATTTTTGTTAACATTGCTGGTTCACATTTTTAACTGGGCCCAGGAGAATATGAAGCCAATACCACAGACGTGTCTTACCTTGTTGTTGACTCGCACAAAATCTGTGTACCTGCGAAACAGCAACCAATGCTCCTGGTCGGACTTTTGGACATGGATCTTGAAAACCTGCATAGATCACAAAATTCAGCAAAATGTCAACAGCTGTTTGCAGTCAATCAGGAAATGTTTCGTGAGCTGGTTTTGATGTCTGATGTCACAAACACACATGCACATAACAGCTACAATGAAAATGACATGGATCTTTTATACCGTTCTAACAATTTCAACCAAATTTAGAATCAGGTCAAAAGTTTTCGATTATTTTCTCAACCAATCAATCTTCCACCTTTTTGATTACAAATTAAATCAAACAGCTGATGATTTGGTCTTCTAATTTTCATCCAAGCTTTAATCAATATCTACATAGATTCCAACGCTTTCCCTTGAGAACTAATTCTGGTGGTATCTTTATAATCCACGTCATCTGCTTATTTTCACCTTTTTAAATTCACCTCACTTTTTTGTTTGAGAATATTTGAGATCTTTGGTTCAAGAACCTTTTACTGCCATTTTCTCCAAGTACTTTGTTTACCTATATTTTTGCAAAGTACTGTTTTATTAATCCAACCAAAAAAAATGATATTTCAGTGGCCCACTAACAAATATCTGGCAGAATGGATTAGCTTGCAATATATGAATTGTGACAGTCTCCAATGTCCCGAACAAAAAAATCAGTATTTCTGCAAGAATCACAAGTGCTGTAATGCAGTTTTCCTCTTTTATTATTTGAAGCAAACAGTGGGTGTAGTTTACTTTTAGCAAGCATTTCCTGGTACATGAATCACAGCAGCCCGTCGACAGTCAAGTGACTGCTTTACACGGATGGCCAACTCACTCATTCTGTGACAACAAATCTTTGATCAACAGCGGCGGACAATAAAAATAGAATTCACATGCAAATCAGTTGACAAAAGCAATGCACAGCTCAGTGGTGGAGACAGTCGCCGATTTCTATTTTTAAGAAAGACTGGTAACCTTGGCACTTGTTGCATGTTTCTGATCTTTGTGAAAAGATGACTTGTTGAGGAAACTGCTTTATGACAAGCACACATCCTTTTCAGCAGGCAAGCATGACATGGCTGATCAACTAAGGCCAGCCTTTGCCTTCGCGAAGAAATTTTTCGTTTCATCACGCAGCACAAGTCCTAAAACGATTATATGTCAACTTCGTCCCCATAGACTACCTCGTGCAAGAGTGGGTGTAATATGGTGACTAACGATCGCCATGGGAATGAGGTTGATTACATGTAGGATCAGGCGCTGGTGAACAAGTATGGCCTCCTGTGTTCATTTTGTTACAAATTGATATATACGGTGCTGTAGTTCATTATTTGTAAGTAAGGGAACCTGCCTGCCGGTGTTGATACATTCAAACCAAACATCTGAACTTTACTGCAGCGCATTTTCTATTTTGGACTTGGTTGATGGGGGAAAAACATGGGAAAAGACTGAATTTTAGCTCCAATTTTATTTTCACATTTTTAGGGATCTAGAAATACAAGCCTCGAATGAAGTACTGCACGGCTTGATTTGCACCACTAGGCCGTGCTTGAAAAAATGGGCTGTGACTTCACAAAACTGACCGTGTAAAACACGGCTGCACGGCTTTCTAGCCAAAACACTGTGGGCTTCATTCATGAGATGGATAGGTTCGTACTAAAAAAACCACTTTATTATTACTCTGAAATGGGAAGAAACCTGGTAACATTACAATTACATGTATGCTTTCAGTGTCAAAACTGTTTTAAATTTGACAACAAAGGTATATGTATGATGTAGCACAACTTTTTATCAGTGTTGGAGTACTCATAATTGTACTCGAGTACACAGGAATACTCGGCCTGTACTCAATTATTATTACTCAAAAAGTAACTGTACTTGTCCCGTACTTGAGTTTTTGTACATGGATCTTGGGCGTACTTTACCCTTAGGTACTCTGTACTGGAGCCTAGTACTCGGGGAAAAATTAGAGTACTTTACTTTTTATCGGTAGCGTTTTCAGGTGCTGGGTGATGACTAAAGATAGCATAGTGCAAGACTTTGAATGCAACACCACACAGCGGTTTCACTCTGTAGTCTGTAACACGTAAAGAATGCTTACCCTGCCCTGGGTACAAGGAGCCACAGCTTTTAGTGTAGGAAATCGTAGTGCTGTGCGCGCATGCGGAATGACACTGACAGAGGTTTTTTGCACTTTTTCATAGCTTTTCCACGGTTGAATACATGTATATGTACTTGGACTCAGACTAAGACCTCAGTACTCAAATTTGGCCCAATGCTCAGCCTTAAATGTACGTGTACTCATACTCAGTGCTTTGGACTCAGACTTGTCATGCGTATACTTTTACTCGGCCTGGAACTTGGTCCCTAAAGCACTCAGATTTGAGGACTCGACTCCAACACTGCTTTTTATCATAAATTGGAACTACCCATCTGAAAACAGGATTGGCAATTTATAATTTGCCCCAAATGCATTCTCTTTGTTTTCACACATACACGTACATGTTCTAAATTTTTAGAACATCCGGGACTGAAGAATTTTATTCAAGATGGCTGACCTATGAATGTGGTCAAATCAGCTGCACACTTGGTCACAAATTGAATCAGTGGCCTTCGACCTACCGTAAATTTGGCCCTCTGTTCCATAATTTCATAGCCAACAATGGGTGCCCTTAGATTCGTCTCTTCCCCACCCGGGTCTTCTACGGCCAAGCTCACACACGTGCCTATGCTCAGGCTGTCAGCTCGACACCCAGACGCCCTGGGGCTGCTGCTGTCACTGCCGCCACCACTGCTGCTGTTGTTACCCCCAGTGCCTAGTGTGGCCTGCAGCTGCCCAGGCAAAGTCCTGGGCCGCCCCATCAGGGCACCAGCCGGGGTGGATGTCATGAGGGCACTGGTGTCAGGTCGGCATTCCACACCTGGTGACTGAATCTCTGGGTCATTCATGGAGGATGGGAGTGACATAGAGAGAGCTGCAAGAGCTGCTGAGGCCAGGCAGGCTTCCGTGGTAGCGTCCACTGCCACTTCTGTTGTCAATGAAGTACTGTCAATGTGATGGGGATTAAGTTTATCTTCCATTCTTGTGCAGACTGCCCAAGAATATCAGAGAACAAAAAAGTAACAGTCCACAGTGAAAAGTCTAAGTGCTACAGAAAAGGCTGCATCCAAATCAGCTGGCTACAGCTATGATTAACACACATGCCTATGGAAGCAGCTGCTAGCTAGTGGATCCAATGGGTGCACTTTTTCCCCTGGCATAACCACAGCCTCTCAGACACAGCCTACAGTTGAAAAAAAATGGAACTTTATTAATAGACTACAGTCACTGACAGTACCTCAAAACGGTCACTGCTCCATCATACATTATATCCCCTACATGTAGCATCCATTTCACAGTTCATGGTGATCTGAGAAAAGAGTGAACAGGCAGTGCAAACACAACCAATGAAATAGCCTGCACAGACTGTACTGATCAATATATTGGAACTTGATATCATGAAATCTACAAACTGCTTTCAGTTGCTTTCAATATTTGAGAGTTAAATTTGAATAAAATCTGGTACACTGAGTTATCTCATTGCACATGATAACGATTTGAATTCCCCAGACTAAAGACACTGTTGCTATACCTTGTGATTCGTGGCAAGCTTTTGCATAGCAACCACCATCTCTGAAATGGACTGGTTCCTTTGTGCCCTGAAAACAGTGTATTGGTGCCTTGCGTCTCTTATGTAACTAAGCAAAAGCTCGCCCTGAGTCACGAGGTATAGCAACAGTGTCTTTAGTATGGAGAATTCAAGTTGTTACGTTACCGTGAATTTAAAGAACTCAGTGTACAAGATTTGGGTCAAAGTTAACTCGCAAAAGGCTTATTTACCAATAGTCATGATCGTTTCACAAGATAAACCACACATTTTAGCTTCCTTCTTCTGTAGTTTGTTTGTTTAAACATGTTTAATTCCAGAAGATAGCCTTTTTTTGGTTGTACATGTGTAAATATGCCTGTCTATTTGAAAGTCATGCATAATACAGTACATGTACATGTACTCCTTTTCTCTTCACTGAACAATATTTTTCTTACAAGTTTTGGTTTCAGTGACGATGCCACACCATGTTTCGAGTTGTCTTGAGTCTGTCATATTATTTACTTTCCACTGAAACAGTATGAAAATGAAAATAAATATCTCATCGATCATGTGACATGTTATGTTATGGGAATTTTTTCTTTAAGTTCTCTGACTACTGACAATACTACAGATGTACTTATGAATAATCTTTGACCCAACTCAATAAACAAACCAACCAGGAAGTGGAGGAAGTTCAAGTGGATTAATCCATCTACATGTATGTTGTGCGTCATTTTCAGTTAGCCTGAGTCAGTTCCAAGAATTGCATATTCAAATATTTGACCTTCCATTTGATTAAATATTCAACTATTCCATTGTAGGCACCGTCGATATCATATTTTGGCCGATACGGATATATAATTTTCAAAATATTTTTTATGTTAAATTGTTCTAGGGTACACCCCTACATCATAATGGGATGGGATACACACTGTTGTGCATAGAGATATCAGCACATGGTGCTAGTCTACGTACATTTGGTTAGCAAATAATTCCCTGTTTGGAGGACAAATTTTGTGACATTTTCAAGGCGAAGTGTATGCGAATTATTGTGTGCAAGACTGAGATAGGTGACTGAATTTATTCTTCAATTGTCGCCGTATACGCTACAGGGAAATTTTTCACTCAGCGTGAGAACCACTGTAAGCTGTGGCTTATCAAAAATTATGCAACAATGCACTTTTGTATTTTTCAATAAAGTTTGGTCCTCAGTAGCGAATATTTTCAATATACATGCATATTTCAATATCGATGTTTACGAAGTTTCAATATTTTTGATATTTTTGATATATTGATATTACCAGATACGTAACATCGGCCGTATCAATATCGAACCTAGATCGATAATATCGAAATATTGATATATCAATGATGCTTATTCCATTTTACAAGATTCCCACAAAAGCAAAACCAAAATATACATATTTTACCAAAAAGCAAGAAAAGAAAAACTTAAAATCCTTTTTTGCCTCATTTAGGTCAACGGCATTTATAATGTAGCTGCATCTTAATATATTCTGAAATATCTTTCAAAGTCCAATTTTGTACCTGTATAATTTAATTTTTAAAACCATTTTTATGTTGATTGTTTGTCACCTCTGAATAAAAGATAATTCAATATCAAAAATAATGGATAAATTTAATGATTAATAAACGGATAACTCAGTTGGTAGAGCACCGTTACCGTCTTCTGGAAGTTTGCCGGTTCAAATCCACCAGTCAATTTCTTTGTTTATCTTTATAGATCCCTATATAGTTTGTTTCTTGAAAATAAATTGCATTAATACTTTTCAAACAACTTTCAAAAATCCAATAATTGCCAGGACCTAAATTTCAGAGTATACATGCAGGGTACTCATACAGTGTAGTGCATGTAAAACTATAGTGGCAGTAGTCTTGTGTCCAGTCTTATACAACATTGACCAATTCTGCATTGTGTGCTTACCAAAAAATACATTCAATCATGCAGATTACACATGTATGTTCATGTACATGCACTTCCAGGAAATCACATTGTGGATGCATAACTGGCTATCATGGGCAGAAATTTCTTGTCACGTGGGGGGGGGTCCAAGCACAGGGTCCAAGGTCATGGCGCTGACCTTGGACCCTTGGGCGTTGTTACGCCCCAACTATAGCATCAGTCCCAACTATAGTTGGGTCCGCCCCAATTAGAGTGCTACAGTTGGGCCGGCCCAACTACAGCAGAGAGGTCCTGTATGCATGATGTGCCCAGCATGTGCCAAAGTCATATTGTTTACAAATGTCACGTCATTGGTCATAGGGCTAAGTGCCACATTTTTGATGAATTGTGCGAAGTGTGAGACACATTGACTTGGATAATGTTGAGCCATTTCCCACAGACATTGGTCAACAATAGTTGGGCCAGCCCAACTGCAGCACTACAGTTGGGACTGTCCCAACTATAGTTGGAACTTATGCTACAGTTGGGGCGTAACAGCGTTACCGCTGATGTACACCAAGGTGATTACTTACATGTACATGTATATTTATGAGGACATATCTTTCCACCCTTCGTCGACGAATAACGACTGAACACGCTGAAAGTAAGACTCTTACCTGAAAATGGTCTGTGACTACAGGAAAGGCACAGAATAGGAGTAAACTTCATAACATGTCGACAACTTCATGAGAATACCGTGCACACAATCACACACATGATGACGGGAATGAGAATTGCAATTGTATGTCCAACACACAATTCACCTACATGTATCACATGGTCATGATATCATGAAGAGCCCTCTATCGTCTGACATGAGCGAGAACATTTTTTTTCATACTTAGATGGTATCGGTGGCAATTTACAACACCACCACTACCACCACTGGTCCTATGTCGCGAAAACATTGCTCTATAAGTGTTTAAAGGTATTCTTTCATACAAACACTGCAAATATCATTCAGGGCACTCCAAACAAATAATCTCGGAACAGTAGCAAGAAAAACACAGTGTAATGACTGCATGTGGAGCCATTTTCTGGGTTTATTTTCATTGTAATAAAGTACCTGGCGAACACGTAAATGATTGACAACAAAAAAAACGGATCTCCCCGATCTCTCTTCTATTAATCTTGCAGTAATGATGATTTTTATATTTTCGTTTAATGAATCGATGAACGGTTAGCCCACTAGTTTAAACACAGAATTGCATACTTAGGGGGAAAAGAAAGCTACGTACAAGTAAAGTACGCCAAACAAAACGTGTTTTCTATTGTATTATTTAAAGGTGGGGGTAGGTAAATGGTTAAAAAATTCTCCCCTCTGTCTAAATTTTTAGCTGGCATACTAGGTTGGGGTGATAGTCAATTAATCTTGTGAAACGGAACCATTTCATTGTAACAGTTAGTGACGGTGGCAGATGTTTAACGTTAAAGAATGTCTGGATTTAAAAGGCAATTGCAGGTACAAAGATCCAAGAGCCAGATACTTTTTTTATATCAATCAGCTTGAAAAATATACTAAACTAATAAATAAAAATTGGGTCAGTTTCTTTTAAATCATCAACTTTTTCAAAGAAAGAGGAATAAGTTCTGCATAACTGTAGGTGGTGTCAGGTAACCGGAAACAAAACTTTGTTCAGCCTGATAAATGACATTGTCAACTCACAGGAATGATAAAACGTACTGAAATGAAATTTTGTCTGTTTCACCTTATTGGACTAACGCAGGGTCAAGGGGTCTGCACATTTTACACTTCACTGGCAATGGTAACTGATAATTAACCTCATCTTCACTCAGGGAAAAAAATAAAATAAACAAATTAAAAAGAGAAACTTACGTAAAAAGGAAACACTGTTAATATAAGAAAGGGTATATTCAACTCACATGACAGCACTTCCAAATAGCTTGTATATCAATTTTGTCAAACAGCATCCCTATTCAAAACCACCACCACTACATGTTAAGAAAACAACAAATTATATTTCTCTATTTTAATAGAGAAAAAACAGACTTAGAGTTGCATCATTCCGAAATACCGTGAAAGTCATTTGTTGGCAATAGGGTTGGCGATAGGTTCCCAGTTCCCCATACCATGAGACTGTGTTTATACTGTGAATTGTGTCAGTGAATCACCATTTCAAGCCCACCCATCTGCGATCATGATGCTGCAACCAACCAATGCATATTTTAAATGGATATATAATACCCAGAATTCCAAAACGTACCGCAGTTTAACCACTATCAATGACATACATCTCGAGACAAACCTAATTTTTTTGAGTGAAATCAAAATCATGTTTCTAACCATAAACTACAAAAGTACACAAACTGTGATGAAGTACAAATTAATGTTCTTTACATACCAAGCTTCCGTAATGTCACGGCAAACTTCATCTTTTGCGAAACATTTCTGGTTCAGCAATATAAAACAAAATTCGCAAGGTGGTCGTTGCATCACAATGTAGCAATTAGGAAATGCTTTAAATAAATGGACTGCACTGGCATGTGTGTCATTGACATCCATGCAAATTCGTTCAATAAGTGTGCAAGAGATAATATCTGGAAAGGACTGCGACTACAAAAATATTTTGGATAGTCGAGAAAATATTGGTGTAAACATACACTGGATAATAATCTTAACTCCTGTAAGTACACAATATGGCAAATTCTAATCAAAGTTGATTTCAGCGAAGTCGTGTGATTTGTAAACCTAACACACTGAACTAGCAGCCACGCACATACAAATACGAAACAAGACATACCCAAGTGGGATGAAGGAGTTTCTCAAATACGACTTCTAAGAAATAATTATAATCAGAAGGAGTTTGATACCATTCACGAAACCCCACTTGGTCTACATCCTACGAATTTCTATTATACAAGTTCAATTTAACTCCAATTAGTAATATTATTATCGGTATTTTTACTTACGTGTTTTATGTTTGAACGTACGTTCACGCTAAATCTGACTGCTTATTCCAGATGTACTATGTATCCGCCAAAGTGTAAAATCAAAACTACTAAATGGAAGGTCGCCGTATCATATTAAAAGCAGATATTAGGTTTACTCTCCTTTTCCAGATGGCACAACATTTTCTCCTATTCACCTTGGTATATCTCAGCTGAGCATCTTTACGATAACAACATCTACTACATGAAATAAAAAGGATTCTCAGATTCTCAACATAAGCTTAGGCGTACTGCTGCGTTTTTTTCAAATGTTTCATAATTGGAGTTAACAAATTACATCGGCACATACATAAAGACACTAACAAAACATACGTTTGGCATGAATATACGGTGTGAACGATGCAGCCATAGTCTCATTTAAACATATATTGGCTGAACTGTGAATTGTGTCAGTGAATCATCCTTTCAAGCCCACCCATCTGCAATCATAATGCTGCAACCAACCAATGCATATTTTGAATGGATATATAATACCAGAATTCCAAAACGTACCGCAGTTTAACCACTATCAATGACATACACCTCGAGACAAACAGAGGTTTTGAGTCAAATCAAAATCAAGTTTCTAACCATAAACTGCAAATACATGACTGTAGTTCACAGACTGTGATTATGTACAAATGAACGTTCTTTACATGCAGTGTGCTGACTTCATTTGTCCGACTGAAAGAGTGTTCATTCGTGATGCTTCTCTCATTTCTTCTTTCAATTATAATGACATTTGTAAACGGCATGAAAAATGTTGACCAACAGTTGCGGATTTGATATTTACAATACAGTTCACAAATTTACAAACAATGCAAAATAAACAAATTACACCTTGAAATATTTAAGAGTAAAATCAAAACTACTGAATAAAAGAACGCCATACCATATATTAAAAGTGTTTAGTTTACTCTCCCTTTTCGGATGGCACAATATTTTCTTCTAGTTACCTAGATATAATCTCAGCTGAACACCTTTACAATAACGACATCGACTACATGAAGAAAACTGATACTCCGATTCTCAACATAAGCTTACACTATCATGTTTTTATGAAACGTTTCACATTGGAGTTAACATATTACATCAGTATATACAAAAAGAAACCAACACAATATACGTTTAGCATCAGCTACGAAGTACAATGGGAACGTTGCAGCCATAGCCTTATTTGGGCATCTATTGGCAACCGCACACTCCCATCATAGATCAAAAAGACAATCGAACATGCACAGAAGATCATTCTCTCGGTCATTTTGCAGCCACTTCATGGAAGTCCCATCTGGGGTTATCGGCCCATTTAAAGAAGCTTCCTTAAGCAGAATAATCGCATGTAACAAAGTTATCACCAAAGAAAAAGACTTAACTTTAGAGACAGTGTTTTCAATAGACCATGTGGCGTATCGGTCTCTTCTTTTTGTCTGCCACGTTTTGGGTATGTGTGTGTTACGGTTTCATGTTTCGCGTCCCACTGGCTGGAGAGAGACGTGCAAAAGGGACGTCAAAAGCTGATAACTTCAATATTGTTAAAAGTTTTTAAAAAGTACGGTTCTCTCCATTGAGACTTTATACCATTATTGGCATAATGTTTTAAGCGTAAATCATTAAGGAATAAAGGTTTGTTCTGAAACTTTCACCGGACATTTGAAATCAATTTTCCAACAAAAAGAATGACTTGCAATCCTAACCTTGGGTCTAAACAGTGAAACGTTCAAGATTGTGTCGTTTATTGTTGTTGATGTCATGGTCGACATTTTGTCTTTCTAAAGCTAAATTTGTCCTTAAAATGAAGAATATTGTTCACAATGTAAAAAGTACGGAGTTTTATACGACTATTTGAATTAACGTTCACCGTAAGATATGCTGTCTGTAGGCCCACACTGTATAGTACCTTACGGTCTGGTTTGGCCAAGAATATCTCCATCCAAAATTCTTTCAATGCGGTCAATCAAGCTGTAAATTTTGCGGGTCATAGTTTGCAAGATTTGCCTGCTCCGACCATGCTGGATACTGCGCCCCATCCATCTCCGAAGCCACGGTGTTCCCGGTAGCTAACTGGTGCCGTGCTCCCCCAATGTCGGCTTGGCACTCGGGGCATTTGGCCGTCTGCATGGCTCCACCACATTCTCCAATGGCGTACACGTGCCCATTTGGGCATTTGTACCAGTGTCCCTTCGCCAGACCTATCGCCTTGACTATTATGACCTTTGTCTCCTCGCTGACACCCAAACCACCGATGCTTTTTCGTAGTTCCTGCAACAGCTCCTTAGTTTCCAGTTCACTTTCTTCAGTCAAGAGCATGCCACAGAAGAGCAGTTTACGGACTTTTTCCATTTGGTTTCGTAAGTCCTCATTATCACTTGGAGCAGCACGTGCGATATCGCAAGCTTCGACACAGAGATGAAGACGTCTAAGTTCGTTCGGGAAATCAATCAACTCCTGCTCAGTGCCTCGAAAAGGTCTCGATGGGTTAAACAGCCGACTTGCAACATTTTCAATGTTTTTCATGGTCTGCCGGTAGCACTCATCGAACCCACTCATCGAACCCACTGCGCCACCACTTTTGAGTTGTTTTTCAAGTTTCACGATCTCATTTGCTAAAGTGGCTTGATTCAGAAGTAGGTTAAGGTCGAAGATTGACACTGAATTGGATTTAAGAGGCTTGGTAACGGTTTCGATGGAGGATGCTTTGAACAGACGGCTTTCTCCGACTTCAGTCAACTTCGACCTGATCACCCGCTTCTTCTCGGC